AAAGAAAACCCAACCTAAAATCAACAAGTATCTTTTAATGCATAAGCTTCATATCATAAACTGGATGTCACATTCCTTTCAAAAATAGCATCCATTTAATATTCTATGTGGCATAAACAAGCAGTACAACTACTGAATGCTGGATGTAGCTAGTACGTATATATTCACGCAGAATTAAAAAAAGCAGTTAATATTTTTGCAATATTGTCTTATCTTAGTCAGAGAAAAGAATATTAAATGCAGTCCTTTGTAGGCTAGTGTGTGAGTTTTCACCGTGAAATTCACAGGTTCAGGTGTCATAAGTAAAGTGGCACATTTCAAAAAGAGTGACAGCACTAACACAGGCAGAGGTCAACTTACGCTTTTCACGTATTCACACTGACCATGGGATTGTGGACTTTGCTGACTGAAAATCAGAAGTATAAACTAACACGTATGAAGTGTATAGCTGCCTCCTGAGGTCCGAACTACTTTCCAGACTTGCCTCAAATAGGTAAAATAATTTACATATCCACTCTTACCACTTCATTTAAACCTCTGAAAATGCAATGAGCTAGTATGTTTCTTCTGAAAGCTGTTTATATGAGATACTTTTTGTATTGGCAGCTATTTTAGAGGAGGGAAAGCTTTTTTAATTGCTAACCACTTATTATTAGAATAAAACTGGATACATTTCACAAATGCATTCTCCCTTTCTGTGTATGTAAAATGTAAAGCACTGAGTTGTTTTCCAGAACACAAGATGTAGCTTGGTAACTGATTTAACATACTTTAATAGCTTGTTCGTAACTAATGTTATATCATACAAATTGTCAGACTAGAAATGGCTGCCAGTGATTCCTGTCAGACTTAAATAGTTTCCTTGCCTATTCATCCACGTCTCAATTAATAAATCCCATTTCTACGAGTTATAAAAAGAATATGCTCGGTTGTTTTTCTTTCATGTCAGTACAGAGTTCAAAATAGGGCTCAATTTGAAATGGTTCTGTGTATATACAGTGTCACATTTCATGCAGAAAATCTGCATTGGTTGCGATTGACCCACAGTCTGCTCTGAATGAAAAGGAAATAATCAATCAGAAAACTAATTCTCACATCTACGATAAAGAAAGCTTTTTGCATACATTCAAAGTGAATAAGCTCCTCCTGTTTACTCAATAAGATGCCCTAGATTTAAGCGGTACTTAAAACTCAGGACCCTAGTCTGAACATCATCTGCCAGGAAATGCTCCATCCAAATGAAAATTTTGCTTATTTAACAAAGGAGAATCTATATGTGTGGAAGAAATCATTCAGTTTTATGATTTTCTTCACTTACAAAGCACTCATAAATATGAACTGGATCCTGAATGATGCTGAGCATCTGGCCCTGGTCCATAAAAGCTCTTCAGTGCATGTTTAAGTGTGAAAATAGTCATAGGGTTTAACTGGCAGATATTCTAGCTGTCTATGTACTTTCATGGGTATTCATGGATTGGTGAGACTGGGCAGGAAGAATGGAGAAGACAGAGAAATAAAATTTGCGTTCATGCTACGTAGTGCCTGCTGAAAGAATTTGCTGTTGGATCGGTGGAAAACTGAATATTTCCACAGTCTGGCATACCACTCCTTTGCCAAAACAGCCGCCTTTGTCTTTCTTTCAGCAGTGGAACTCTAGCCTCTAGCTGTGATCTGATGCATGTTTTCAGGTACAACGACAAATAGGGTAAATCTGGGTGCTTCTGGGAGTAATTTAGGAATGTAGTGCCACATAGTGATTACACGATGGCAAATACAAACATAGTAATAGTGGATCAGATTCCCCAAGGATCATATTTCACATTTCAGCGAGAATCCATGCCAGCTGCATAGTCCCTTTCATGCAGTAAGGAATTTATGCAGACCAGTCTGTCCAGGTTAGGACCAGTGCCTCTGTTTAATAAACAGTTTGATGAAAATACTTAGGTGCATAGATGAGCACAGATTTGAAGAAGTCCATCCACTGCAGGACGGATGCATCTTTTTGCCAGTGCAGGATGTGATCCACACTACCCATGCACTGGATTTGGTAGGCTGTGATCTGGTGAAAGAATATGAGAATGGCTTCACTGGTCCAGGCTGAGAGTCAGTCTCAACCAGCATTCTTTCTCCCAAAATGAAGCTAAGCAGGTGTCTAAGGAAGATTAGGAACAAGGCAAATATATTTATCTGCAGTAACATCTAAATCTCAAAGTACTCAAATAAAAGAATTGCCAAGCGTAGCACGGTAGGTCTGTTTAGCATCTCATATTATTGGAACCATTCAAGTTTTTCTGAACTTTGTCCCCGAGTCCCTCTTAACTTATTAAATCCAAAACATATTCTAACAAAAATCTGTTGCGATGAAGTGACTCTTTCATGTTCACAACCTGACTCTTTTTGACGGGCAGTTTTATGAGTCTATCTGAATCTTCTAAGGGTCACTCTGGCAGAGACGTGAAGATTTCATCTCACTCCACTCTGTTCATGCCAAAAATCTTTTTTTTTTTTTTTTTTTTTTTTTAGGTTCTCTTTCATAATCTTTGTACATGCTCTTTTTCCAGGGCATCATACAGCTTCTGATCACCTCACTCTCACTACAATAAACTTTGTTTTTCAGTGGAGAAAGAGGGAATAAGGATATTGATGGTAAATATTTCAGTTGACCAGAATTCTGAAGAGCTTTTCGTTTGAATTGCCATAGTTTGCCCAAATTTGTATGTGATTATTAATTTTTAGTGACTTACAATGCCAAAGCTTGTTACTGAACCCTATATATCCCAATAGTTTGAATCCTTCGTCTTCTCTCATTTAATCAATGTTATGGAAGTGTTGCATTAATTGTACTGCATAGTAGCTAATCTAATATTAACTGAAATAGATTTCACTGAGAATTATATAGATATTGTAGTTAACCCTTTCTATTATGTTTGTACAAAACTTCAACAGAAGTTTTCAACAGAAAGCATGCCTTGGTAGAATATGAATTTCTTTCATTAGCTTCTGTGAAAGCTTCAGTTAAAACAAAAAGGAGTGTGCAAAGAATATCAGCTGTCATCCACCTGGACGAAGCACCTTTTATCTCTGACTAGGTATCTACAAAATATTCCTCTGATTCGTACTTACACTGTTTAGAGTCTTAATTGGAAGCAACATTTATAAGGGTGACACATTTTAATTTCCCACTTCTTCTAAACAAAATATTAGGCCATAAAAAAATCTAAATAAAAGCTACCCACATATCCACATTAATGTAAGATATGTTGACTTTTTAGTCCCCTGCCACAGAATTAACATAAGCATAGTATAATATGAGTAACTACCAGCATTCAGAGCAAGTACTGTGCTCCTTACAAGATAAAGACTAACCCTAGTCTACTAGCTCCTGCAGTTATTTAAACTTAAGGATGAGATAGATTAAGATGACCTTAACTGAATTTTATACACAGTAAGGTTCTCATCGAATTCCTAGAATAGACATTAAAATATTTTCATTAACAATTTGCCTAAACTTAATCTACATCCTTCTAATATGTTTTACTGCCATTGCTTTTCACTTTTTCTGCAGACCAACATTTCTGTCATTATACTCCCTATCCTCAATTTACGCAGTGTTTTCACTATTACTAGTTGCTTCTTCGTACTCATATCATCTTCTGTTCCATCTGTGGCATCTTAAGTACGGTATTTCTTGCAATCATTAGCTACAAGTTCTGGATTTAACTGGTCACTGTTCTCTTAACATAATGAAAGTTTTGCACAGTCCCCCATTTTCCTTGAGAACCTCAAGCATAATTGCTGCCATTAGTTATTCTGAATATGAAGACTTCAAATGGTCTTTAAAGGGCATGTTCGCTGCTATATAAAGAGCCCATAGTTTAGCAGTCATTCCAATTGATATAACCACAAGATCGATATTCAGTTCCTTGACAGTATTATTCACAGATGGCATTAGGTGACCTCTGAATGAATCCAGGACAAGTTTTTGTTTTCTTTTCCTTAAGCCCGCATTTTGTCCCCCGATCCAAATGATTTTCGGGCGATCCTTCATTAGCTCGGTAAACAACCATTCTCTGTTTTGACCCCTCACAATTATTTCAGTGGACAGCTATTCCTTCAGCATTTCTTTATGCTTATGTATCACATAGGGAAGCAATATTAACCAATTTGTTAACACCACCAGCATTTCCATACCATGCATTTTTTCATCTACCAGAAATTTAATGCCGGTAAATTTTGGACGTACTTTTTCCATGCCTCATTGGAGCAACACCAGGCAAAGAAGCTGTCATTTGACAGAAAAAATAACTAGTAGGGAGAGATTCTAGCAAACTAAGGTTCTTAACTGTATGGGAAATGCTGAGTCACTGCCTGAACCTCTGATTGATCACCTGAGGCAAGCCATGTGTCAGCCAGAGGAGCACAGGTGAAGGCAATGCACGTGTGTTGCAGGAATAGGTGGAGCCTGGCTGCACCTCTCCTAGATGTATTTAAGGGCTGGCTACCAGTGGGGAAGGATCTCCTCCGGGGATCTGCTTTGCTAGTGTTTTGGGAGTGACACCAGGATAGGGGTAAGTCTTCTGTTTATTCTCTTTTGTTATTGTAGTCTGCTTTGCCTAACTCTCTTGTTTGCTTTGTGATTATAGCATCCTAATATTCTTTGATTATACGTCCTACAAACATGCTATCGGTGATTTGCTGTGGAGACTTGCATCTGAGCAGGTAAGTCTGTATGGGCAAAGGGTCAGGAGTGAGAAAAGGCTAATTAAAAAGGTCTTTTTAAGGCTTGTTTAGGACATGGTTAAGGCTAGCATCAGCACTGTGCTTTAGCTGGCAGCTTGTGGACAAGCTCCGGAGTCACCAGGGGAGGAGCTGGCACATTGGTGGCATGGTTTAAACATCCTGCGAGTGTGCTGTAGGTCATTTGCTGCAGATACTTGCTTCTGAGCAGGTAAATCTGTGCGGGCAAAGGATCTGGAGTGATAAAAGGCAAAGAAAAGAGCTCTTTTGAAGGCTTTTTAAAGGCTTTTTTAGGACCTCTTCTGAGGCTAGCATCAGCTCTGCGCTTGAGCTGGGAGCTGGCAGCTTGAGGTCGGACTCCGGAGTTACTAGGGGAGGAGCTGGCACATTGGCGGCACGGTTTAAACAACCTACGGAGTGCTGTCGGTCATTTGCTGCGGAGTCCTGCTTCTGAGCAGGTAAGTCTGTGCGGGCAAAGGATCTGGAGTGAGAAAAAGCTAACCAAAAAGCTCCTTTTGAGGCTTTTTTTTTATGACATTTTTAGGACCTCATTTGAGGCAAGAGTCACCACTGTGCTTGAGCTGGGAGCTGCCAGCTTGCGGACGGGCTTCTGAGACAACAGGGGAGGTGCTGGCACATTGGGGGCACGGTTTAAACAACCTATGGATGTGTTATCGGTCATTTGCTGCTGAGACTTGCTTCTGAGCAGGTAAGTCTGTGTGGGCAAAGGATCTGGAGTGCGAAAAGGCTAAGAAAAGAGCTCTTTTGAAGGCTTTTTAAAGGCTTTTTTAGGACCTCTTCTGAGGCTAGCATCAGCTCTGCGCCTGAGCTGGGAGCTGGCAGCTTGTGGGCGGGCTCCGGAGTTACTAGGGGAGGAGCTGGCACATTGGCGGCATGGTTTAAGCTCAGTTTTAATATGCTATCGGTCATTGGCTGCAGAGACTTGCTTCTGAGCAGCTAAATCTGTGCGGGCAATGGATCTGGAGTGAGAAAAAGCTAACCAAAAAGCTCTTTTCAAGGCTTTTTTTATGACATGGTTGAGGCTAGCGTCAGCTCTGTGCTTGAGCTGGGAGCTGCCAGATTGCGGACAGGCTCCGGAGTCACTAGGGGAGGAGCTGGCACATTGGCGGCATGGTTTAAACACCCTACGGAAGTGCTGTCGGTCACTTGCTGCGGAGACTTGCTTCTGCGCAGGTAAATCTGTGCGGGCAAAGGATCTGGAGTGAGAAAAAGCTAACCAAAAAGCCCTTTTTAAGGCTTTTTTAGGGCATGGTTGAGGCTAGCATGAGCACTGCGCTTGAGCTGGGAGCTGGCTGCTTGCGGACAAGCTCCGGAGTCACCAGGGGAGGAGCTGGTACATAGGCGGCACGGTTTATACTCCATTTAAATGTGCTGTCGGTCATCTGCTGCAGACACTTGCTTCTGAGCAGGTAAGTCTGTCTGGGCGAAGGATCTGGAGTGGGAAAAAAAGCTAACCAAAAAGATCTTCGTAAGGCTTTTTTTATCACATGGTTGAGGCTAGCGTCAGCTCTGTGCTTGAGCTGGGAGATGCCAGGTTGCGGACAGGCACCAGAGTCACCAGGGGAGGAGCTGGCACATTGGCGGCACGTTTTAAACACCCTACAGAAGTGCTGTCGGTCACTTGCTGCAGAGGCTTGCTTCCGAGCAGGTAAATCTGTGTGGGCAAAGGATCTGGAGTGAGAAAAGGCTAAGAAAAGAGCTCTTTTTAAGGCTTTTTTAGGACATGGTTAAGGCTAGCATGAGCTCAGTGCTTGAGCTGGATGATGCCAGCTTGCAGACGGGCTCCAGAGTCACCAGGGAAGGAGCTGGTACATTGGCGGCATGGTTTAAACCCTGTTTAAATGTGCTATTGGTCATTTGCTGCTGAGACTTGCTTCTGAGCAGGTAAATCTGTGAGGGCAAAGGATCTGGAGTGCGAAAAGGCTAAGAAAAGAGCTCTTTTGAGGCTTTTTAAAGGCTTTTTTAGGACCTCTTTTGAGGCTAGCATGAGCACTGCGCTTGAGCTGGGAGCTGCCAGCTTGTGGACGGGCTCCAGAGTCATCAGGGAGGTGCTGGCACATTGGGGGCATGGTTTAAACACCCTATGGAAGTGTTATTGGTCATTTGCTGCAGAGGCTTGCTTCGGAGATGGTAAATCTGTGTGGGCAAAGGATCTGGTGTGAGAAAAGGCTAAGAAAAGAGCTCTTTTTAAGGCATTAATATGACATTTTTAGGACCTCTTTTGATGCAAGCGTCACCTCTGTGCTTGAGCTGGGAGCTGCCAGCTTGCGGATGGGCTTCTGAGTCACCAGGGAGGTGCTGGCACATTGGCGGCACGGTTTAAACACCCTATGGATGTGTTATCGGTCATCTGCTGCAGAGACTTGCTTCTGAGCAGGTAAGTCTGTGTGGGCAGAGGATCTGGAGTGAGATAAAGCTAATCAAAAAGTCCTTTTTAGAGCTTTATAATGGCTTTTTTAGGACCTCTTTTGAGGCTAGCATGAGCACTGTGCTTGAGCTGGGAGCTGGCAGCTTGTGGGCGGGCTCCGGAGTCACGAGGGGTGGAGCTGGCACATTGGTTTCATGGTTTAAACCCTGTTTAAATGTGCTATTGGTCATTTGCTGCTGAGACTTGCTTCGGAGATGGTAAATCTGTGTGGGGAAAGGATCTGGTGTGAGAAAAGGCTAAGAAAAGAGCTCTTTTTAAGACATTAATATGACTTTTTTAGGACCTCTTTTGATGCAAGCGTCACCACTGTGCTTGAGCTGGGAGCTGCCAGCTTGCGGATGGGCTTCTGAGTCACCAGGGAGGTGCTGGCACATTGGCGGCACGGTTTAAACAACCTATGGATGTGTTATCGGTCATCTGCTGCAGAGACTTGCTTCTGAGCAGGTAAGTCTGTGTGGGCAAAGGATCTGGAGTGCGAAAAGGCTAAGAAAAGAGCTCTTTTGAAGGCTTTTTAAAGGCTTTTTTAGGACCTCTTTTGAGGCTAGCATGAGTACTGTGCTTGAGCTGGGAGCTGCCAGGTTGCGGATGGGCTCCAGAGTCACCCGGGAGGTGCTGGCACATTGGGGGCACGGTTTAAACACCCTAAGGAAGTGTTATTGGTCATTTGCTGCAGAGGCTTGCTTCGGAGATGGTAAATCTGTGTGGGCAAAGGATCTGGAGTGAGAAAATTGTAAGAAAAGAGCTCTTTTTAAGGCTTTTTTAGGACATGGTTAAGGCTAGCATGAGCACTGTGCTTGAGCTGGATGATGCCAGCTTGCAGACAGCCTCCGGAGTCACCAGGGGAGGAGCTGGTACTTTGGTGTCATGGTTTAAACTCCATTTGTTGTGCTATTGGTCATTTGCTGCTGTGACTTGCTTCGGAGATGGTAAATCTGTGTGGGCAAAGGATCTGGAGTGAGAAAAGGCTAAGAAAAGAGCTCTTTTTAAGACATTTATATGACTTTTTTAGGACCTCTTTTGATGCAAGCGTCACCTCTGTGCTTGAGCTGGGAGCTGCCTGCTTGCGGATGGGCTTCTGAGTCACCAGGGAGGTGCTGGCACATTGGGGGCACGGTTTAAACACCCTATGGATGTGTTATCGGTCATCTGCTGCAGAGACTTGCTTCTGAGCAGGTAAGTCTGTGTGGGCAGAGGATCTGGAGTGGAAAAGAAGCTAACCAAAAAGCTCCTTTTGAGGCTTTTTCATGACATTTTTAGGACCTCTTTTGATGCAAGCGTCACCACTGTGCTTGAGCTGGGAGCTGCCAGGTTGCGGATGGGCTCCAGAGTCACCAGGGAGGTGCTGGCACATTGGGGGCACGGTTTAAACGCCCTATGGAAGTGTTATTGGTCATTTGCTGCAGAGACTTGCTTCGGAGATGGTAAATCTGTGTGGGCAAAGGATCTGGAGTGAGAAAATTCTGAGAAAAGAGCTCTTTTTAAGGCTTTTTTAGGACATGGTTAAGGCTAGCATGAGCACAGTGCTTGAGCTGGATGATGCCAGCTTGCAGACAGCCTCCGGAGTCACCAGGGGAGGAGCTGGTACATTGGTGTCATGGTTTAAACCCTGTTTAAATGTGCTATTGGTCATTTGCTGCTGAGACTTGCTTCTGAGCAGGTAAATCTGTGTGGGCAAAGGATCTGGAGTGAGAAAAGGCTAAGAAAAGAGCTCTTTTTAAGACATTTATATGACATTTTTAGGACTCTTTTGATGCAAGCATCACCACTGTGCTTGAGCTGGGAGCTGCCAGCTTGCGGATGGGCTTCTGAGTCACCCGGGAGGTGCTGGCACATTGGGGGCATGGTTTAAACACCCTATGGAAGTGTTATCGGTCATCTGCTGCAGAGACTTGCTTCTGAGCAGGTAAATCTGTGTGGGCAAAGGATCTGGTGTGAGAAAAGGCTAAGAAAAGAGCTCTTTTTAAGGCATTAATATGACTTTTTTAGGACCTCTTTTGATGCAAGCGTCACCTCTGTGCTTGAGCTGGGAGCTGCCTGCTTGCGGATGGGCTTCTGAGTCACCAGGGAGGTGCTGGCACATTGGGGGCACGGTTTAAACACCCTATGGATGTGTTATCGGTCATCTGCTGCAGAGACTTGCTTCTGAGCAGGTAAGTCTGTGTGGGCAGAGGATCTGGAGTGAGATAAAGCTAATCAAAAAGTCCTTTTTAGAGCTTTATAATGGCTTTTTTAGGACCTCTTTTGAGGCTAGCATGAGCACTGTGCTTGAGCTGGCAGCTGGCAGCTTGTGGGCGGGCTCCGGAGTCACCAGGGGTGGAGCTGGCACATTGGTTTCATGGTTTAAACCCTGTTTAAATGTGCTATTGGTCATTTGCTGCTGAGACTTGTTTCTGAGCAGCTAAGTCTGTGTGGGCAAAGGTTCTGGAGTGAGGCAAAGCTGACCAAAAAGCTCTTTTTAAGGCATTTATATGACATTTTTAGGATCTCTTTTGAGGCAAGCGTCACCACTGTGCTTGAGCTGGGAGCTGCCAGGTTGCGGATGGGCTCCAGAGTCACCAGGGAGGTGCTGGCACATTGGGGGCACGGTTTAAACACCCTATGGAAGTGTTATTGGTCATTTGCTGCAGAGGCTTGCTTCGGAGATGGTAAATCTGTGTGGGCAAAGGATCTGGAGTGAGAAAATTGTAAGAAAAGAGCTCTTTTTAAGGCTTTTTTAGGACATGGTTAAGGCTAGCATGAGCACTGTGCTTGAGCTGGATGATGCCAGCTTGCAGACAGCCTCCGGAGTCACCAGGGGAGGAGCTGGTACTTTGGTGTCATGGTTTATACTCCATTTGTTGTGCTATTGGTCATTTGCTGCAGAGACTTGCTTCTGAGCAGGTAAATCTGTGTGGGCAAAGGATCTGGAGTGAGAAAAGGCTAAGAAAAGAGCTCTTTTTAAGACATTTATATGACATTTTTAGGACTCTTTTGATGCAAGCGTCACCTCTGTGCTTGAGCTGGGAGCTGCCTGCTTGCGGATGGGCTTCTGAGTCACCCGGGAGGTGCTGGCACGTTGGCGGCACGGTTTAAACACCCTATGGATGTGTTATCGGTCATCTGCTGCAGAGACTTGCTTCTGAGCAGCTAAGTCTGTGTGGGCAAAGGATCTGGAGTGAGATAAAGCTAATCGAAAAGTCCTTTTTAGAGCTTTTTAAAGGCTTTTTTAGGACCTCTTTTGATGCAAGCGTCACCACTGTGCTTGAGCTGGGAGCTGCCAGCTTGCGGATGGGCTTCTGAGTCACCAGGGAGGTGCTGGCACATTGGCGGCACGGTTTAAACAACCTATGGATGTGTTATCGGACATCTGCTGCAGAGACTTGCTTCTGAGCAGGTAAGTCTGTGTGGGCAAAGGATCTGGAGTGCGAAAAGGCTAAGAAAAGAGCTCTTTTGAAGGCTTTTTAAAGGCTTTTTTAGGACCTCTTTTGAGACTAGCATGAGTACTGTGCTTGAGCTGGGAGCTGCCAGCTTGCAGACGGGCTCCAGAGTCACCCGGGAGGTGCTGGCACATTGGGGGCACGGTTTAAACACCCTATGGTAGTGTTATTGGTCATTTGCTGCAGGAACTTGCTTCTGAGCAGGTAAATCTGTGTGGGCAAAGGATCTGGAGTGCGAAAAGGCTAAGAAAAGAGCTCTTTTTAAGGCTTTTTTAGGACGTGGTTAAGGCTAGCATGAGCACAGTGCTTGAGCTGGATGATGCCAGCTTGCAGACAAGCTCCTGAGTCTCCAGGGGAGGGGCTGGTACATTGGCGACATGGTTTAAAATCCATTTAAACGTGCTATTGGTCATTTGCTGCAGAGACTTGCTTCTGAGCAGTTAAGTCTGTGTGGGCAAAGGATCTGGAGTGAGAAAAAGCTAACCAAAAAGCTCTTTTTAAGGCTGTTTTAGGACATGGTTGAGGCAAGCATCAGCACTGCACATGAGCTGGGAGCTGCCTGCTTGTAGGCGTGCTCCGGAGTCTCTAGTGGAGGAGCTGGCACGTTGGCGGCTCAACTTAAATACCCAGCCTTGCCTTCACACCTTGGCACCTGATGGTAAGCCTTAAATAGCTCCTGAGAGGGGGTGAGGATAGCTTCTTCCCACAAGCCACATCAGGTGAGAAATTGTTGTTACTGTTTAATGGAAAGGGTCAGGCTGTCCTTGCTCAGGAGTCTGAATTTCCTTGTAATTCTCTGAGACAGTATCTGAAAACACAGGCTGAAACATTGTCTCCAGTAGACAGCGGGCTCCTTCCAAGAAGACTGTAGCAACCCAGACTGAAACCCTGGTAAGAAATGTTGCTGTTCAGGCCTCTGGCTGCAGGGAGTGCATCAGCCTACTTCTGCCTGGGGAGAGTGGCAGGGACTTAAACTATGCGAGGTGTGAGCAGGTGGACGAGCTTCTCAGCCTGGTGGTGGAGCTTAAGGATGAGGTGAAGAGACTTAGGATCATCAGGGAGTGTGACTCACTGGCTTACCTGAGAGAAGGGCCCCAGGAAAAAAAAACCCAGGCAGTTCGTGGACCCCCTATCCTTTCACAGTCAGACAGACCTCACTGATGAGGAAGGTTGGAAAAGAGAAAGAGACAAAACAGGAGGTTTCTGGACTGCTTGGAAGATTGCTTCATTAGGCAACTGGTTGGAGAGCAGACCAGGGGCGGTGCCACGCTGGACCTGGTCTTCGCTAACAGAGAACTACTGGTGGGAGAAGTGAAGGCTGAAGACTGCATTGGGCTGAGTGACCACAGGACTGTGGAGTTCTCCATTCTTGGGGATGTCAAGAGTGGCCAGCAAAACTACCTTCCTGAACTTCCAGAGGGCAGACTTTGACCTGGTCAGGGAGCTTGTAGCGCGGGTCCCTTCGGAGTCACTTCTCAAGGGTAAAGGGGCACAGGAAGCCTGGATGCTCCTCAAGACCGAAATCTTAAAGGCACAAGAACAAGCTGTTCATGAGTGCCCTAAGGTGAGCCACAGGGGAAGACAACCGGTGTGGATGAGCTAGGAATTACTCTTGAGACTCAAGGAGATGAAGAGAGTCTACAACCTGTGGAAGAAGTGACAGGCTGCTTGGGGAGATTACAAAGAAATAGCTAAGGTATGCAAGGAGGAAGTTAAGAAGGCG